AAAAAAAAAAAAAAAACAATCAAAAAGACCAGGATGATGTTAGACACGCCTGGGTTGCTTCATTGTCACAAAGGAAAAGCTGTTAAGACATCAGATATACATAGTGATGAGACATAAAATATTTGAGTATAGCTTTACAGCATCAATTCCTGGAATCATTTCAGTGAAAGGTTTGACTTTTTCTTTCACACAATGTTAAAGTAATGGGTATTTTTGAGGACCTCTTCAAGTCCAATGGTCACTTGAAACTGGAGCGCTGAAAATAAAACGCTCTCAAGGTAGAGGATCCGTTTTTGTATTCGGTTTTTAACCACTAATGCAGAGCCAGATATTGGTTTGGAGCCCGAAACACGGTCCAATGTAAGAGCGAGTCTGACTTTGAAAAAGAGGTTTTGGGCAAAATGCCTGGAGCTGCAGTGTTTTCAAATCTCTAGTTTCAAGAGTACAATGAAGGGGAAGTTAATACGAAACACACACAAAAAAAAGGGGAGATCTCTCTTCCCATATCCATTTGCGTTACTTTGAAGGCTACACAAAAAGCAGCATATTGACTCTGGATGTATCCCAATACCTTTTATCACCCCCCCCTTGTTCTTCTCTCCTTCCCTTCATGAATCATCCCTGATTTAAAAAGGAGCTGATCAAAAGGAGGAGGAGAGACACGGGAGGATCCATGGTGATTAGTTGAGATTTAACAAGGAGGGTGGTGGGCGGCTAAATGGTTGGTTTCCCCTTCCTTCTGACTTTAAAACAAATCTATTGTTAACAGGATGTAACATATTATTTATCTTAATAATACAAAGGAAGCATGCTCACATCCTCCCATTGCTCCCTGGATGACACTAAACTTGGACTACATTCAGTTTGATTAAATCGTGCCGTGACACGTCTTTTTCCCTTTCAACTTTTACATTCTCTTCTCCACTGGTTTCCCCCCTTATTGCTCAGATTTGCTGCATGTAGATAGAGTTGGGCTTCATAACATATTAATCCAGTGTTTAATTCAAATTAAATCCCTTATCGAACCTCCTCAGGTTTAGAGTTATAATTAACTAAAAGTCAAAGATCTTAATCGCCTTTTTGTTAGCTGAAGTGGCAGAAGCAGTTTTTAATGTTTACAATCTGAAAACGAGATGAACATATGACCCTCCGACACACTGAAACAGGATATTTGGCAGCCTTTTTCTATAGAGCTCTAATGTATATAATATTTCCTAATTATTGGAGACATTTAAAAAACTTTGCTATGCACGTTGCCTATTATGGATGGAATATTTGTTAAAGACTTAAATAGTAATGTCATAATTATGTTAATCTAACTGATATGGCACACTGATTAACATGAAAATGTAAAAATGGCAGTTCATTTCAAAAAGGTTGCTGACCCCCGAGAAGAGTAACCGCTCTGTTGGTTTTGTTGAACTACAAAACCACACACTACACTCATTTCCTCTCCCTAACAACCCATCTTTGGGCCGAGTCCAGACACCGTCCAAGTTTTTATTTTAGCCATTATAGAATTAATATTAATTAGATACAACTAATATAATGATTCCTCACATATTGTTCCCTACATTAACATTAATGGAAATGTCATAACGTTATTTTTTTCCACAGTTAGCCAGTAGCAGGTCTCCAAAGTTATTTTTGGACTAATAAAATGTTTACCCGGAGCGAAACCAGCGTTTAAATCAGATATTTCCACAGACTTCCTCTATGCTGGAATGTACACCAAGTCAGCTGCTCAGGTAATGCCAGTAGCCATCACACATCATCTATGGAAATATTAGATTTTAATGTTAAGTTTGCCATGGGCGAACATTTTATCTTTCCGGCCAGACACCTGTTGGGTCACAAACATTCCCTTTGAAGATATGACCGCTGCTGGATAACAACATAATTATTTTGACTTCCTCCTAAGGTTTGCGTAGGGAACACTATGTGACCGAATCAAAGAATATACAGTGTGCAGAGGTCATAAATGGGTCCATCACCTTTTCTATCATTGCTCTAGCTGATAAAAAAAATAAAAAAGGAGTAGAGATAAAATGTTCAATAGGAGATTTTCATTAACAATTTTCATTAACGAATCTGGATATTTTGCCAACTGAGAAGTGGTGTCACACCAAATTCTCACCATTCTGTCAAAACTCCTGATTACGTCACAGAATTTTTTGCGATTGGTGGAGCCAGTTATCGTAACCCAACCCTACTTGTGGTTTTTCCACTACGAAGAGGAAAGACGTGTCACACGGCAGATTTAAAAAATATATAAATTATGATTGGGGGGGGGGGGGGG